TGATCCTAACCTATCAATTACTTTAAAGAAAACTAAATTTCAACAACTGAGTGAAAAGTTATTAGCAAATGAGAAATAAGTGTGTACAACTGTGCATGCCATGCATGCAGGCTGATGCAAAAAAAATGTAATTCTGCCGCCATGCCCCCACGTCGATCCAGTTCTGACATAGCAGAGGACTGATTAACCTGAAATATGTCATAATCAGTTAATGTTTGTACATGTAGATTAATAACTTTCTTTACCATTTCGTCATGAATATCCCACAGGCCTCGGGTTGGTTTTGGTGAGGGGACAGATGTGTGCAATCATCGTATACTCTTTCGGTACTATGGATCTGCTCAGACACAATTTTAACTACCCGAGCGTGGGCTGAAGACTCCAGGTACAGGTCAACATTAAATTTCAAATGCAAATGCACTATTTTTTTTTTGGTTGGATCGAAACAAAAATCGAATAAAAAGGATCGATTCAGTCGATTTTTTTCGTGTTTGAGATCGATTCAAAAAATCGATTAATCGAACCAAAATCTTCTTTTGTGATTCGATCCAAGATCGCCCATTGCTAAGTGGGACATTTCGCCCAAGGACGTTTCGCCAAAGGTCATTTCGCCCAAGAGCAAGCAATTTTCTACGGTTTTGAACTTTTCTCAAAGCTCAGTAAATTTTGAAATCAGTCTCGAAAAATGCTTAAGAAAAGGTTCGTTTTTTTCAACCTGGCAAGCTATTCAAATGTAATGCTTCCTTCTTTTGAACATGAGCAGTTCTTTCAAGTTGTGCTGATTTCAGAAATTTTTAAATAAAGTCGGCGAAGAGAATCTGTCAATGTTACTTAGGACCTAATGCAATATTCATGTTGATATCTTCTGGTTGAAGGTAGGAATTTCTTCGGTTATCATGCTTATACCATCTTATACTTTACAAAGACGAAAATAAAACAGATCGTGTATCTCAATTTGTTATGGATAATATATTGTCGTCAGCGTTCGAGATATTATCAACCGGTCAAAACTAACGATTTTGAATTGGCTCACTACTTGACTAGCCAATTGGTCCCAAGCAAATCGATTAACGTATCCCATTCTAGTCAAAATTCTAGTTTTGTTTTAATTCGCTATGAAAGTTTTACAGATAAAAAATTCTCTGTTGTCGTTGTCGTAGGCGCCGTCGTAGTCGCTGTCGTATATTTAAAATTAAACATCAACCGCTGAAAATATGAATTATCGCGTATTTCTGTTGTTCATTACATTCCAAGTGAAATTCGAGAACGTAATTTCATTTGAATAGCTTGTTTAACCAGGTCTTTGACAATCGTCACGTCGGTCATAGCTTGTTGTGATTGTCTGAACCATGCGTAAAGAGAAAATCGAAACATTGAACGTCGCGTGAAAGTGGATCTTAATGAAGGCCTAAGTACTCTTTCGTAGCTTTTAGTTTTAGGTTGCAGTGGCTTGCTTACTGAGCAGAAAAACGCGATCCCAGATCCTTTCATATTAAAAAATATTAAAATATCGCTTGTTTATCGTGTATTTTGTAAAACTTTTCGTTGTCGTCGGTGCCGGGTTTGAATAGTTATAAAAACTTGAGTAACGCTATAATGTGATATGAGAGGCTCGGTGGCCTTAGAGCAACCGTTTTTGCTTACTGAGCAGAACATCATGAGTCTAATCTCAAGCCCATTCACATTCAAGATTCGTCAATGATTAAAAAGGAGCTCGTCTGCCTAGTGGTAAACGTTTTTGCTTACTGAGCAGAAGACCGTGGGTTCAATCCCAAGCTCCTTCGCGTTATACAATCGTTAGGACATCAATTCAGCTTATCGTTTGCCAAAACGAACCCTGCTGCCCAACCCTCTTACCCAACATCCCTGTGATTCCTCGTGGAAGTGCAGAGGACTCCTCGGCTTCCATCAAAGCGAGTGTCACGTCAACACATTCCTACCCATTCCTTTCTTGACCTGCGTTCAGGCGCGGCTGGCGCTGGTATTGCCCAATTCGTGATCACCAGTTTTTACACATTGAGGATGATTGCTAGTCCCAAGCATCGTCTATTGGTTCTCTGTGTAATTACAGCTGGTCTGGCAATAACAGAGTAGCACCCGTGGGCGGTCAATCATGCTCATGCTCATGAAAGTTTTACAGATAAAATGAGGGGACCGAAGATGATACCAGAGATATCGCCACAATCCCGGTAGATAAGCGTATACAGGCAAAATATGGCTTATGCAGCAAATTTTTGCCTGTATAAGCTTTGTTTGTTGGGTATAGCAAAATAATATCAAAGCGTGCTATCATATAACACTGAGCTATTGGTTTGTTTTTCTATAAATTAAATCAATAACATAGTAATAACTCATTCTGTTATCATAACACAATTTGTTATGATTATGCTATTTTTAAATATTTATTTTAGTTTTTAAAATATAACAATAGCAAATTATGCCCTGATAGCAGAAAAAGCTATTAAAACATGCTATAATACACAACCTACTAATAACTTAATAATATATTGGTAGTAAAATTAGATATTTTTTTACTCTAGTTTTGCTATTTTGCTCTACCCGTGTAGCTAAGGAGCACATATTACCCTACACGGTAACCACAAAATACCCAATAATGACTACAAAGTCAGTATTTTTGAGGGAAACTGAGACTACCCATTAAATGAGTAAAATTTTACCCAATAATGAGTAATTACAACTACAAAAATAAGGAGTAAGTATTAATTGGTGAGTAATAAAGAGGTAATGTTTTTACTCATTTAATGAGTAGTCCCAGCAACAATCAATACGAAACTATCGATTTTAAATTGACCACTTTGTCAAACAGTTTTGGCGTGACTTTCTACCAGCGATTCCACAAAAATAGACCAACTAATTTCTATTATTCTATGAAACGCACAAATTATGGCTACTTTTCTCGAGATTCTAGAAGAAAAGATCTAAAATTAATGTTTTATTTCAAAGTTCAAGTGGTAGTAAACGTCATTTTAATTGCTCGAATGAAGTGGTTAATTGGCTCACTACTTGACTAGCCTATTGGTCCCAAGCAAATCGGTTAACGTACCCCATTCTAGTCGAAATTCTAGTACTACACAATGTTTGTTTTGATTTGCCATGAAAGTTTGACAGATAAAATGAGGGGTTCGTGTATTTTGCTTTGTGTCGAGCGGTGCATCGATTAGCTTGGGACCGAAGATAGTACCAGAGCTGAGCCAAAAACTTGAGCACTTTTCTTCGGGACCTACTAGTCTTAGAGTTATCTCTATGATCCCAGTCTCCCTCGAAAATGCCTACTTTGTAGCGAATATCGAGTCTTTTATAGTCATTATTGGGTATTTTGCGGTTACCGTGTATAGCTATCGATACCGAGGAGGAAAAAGAGCAAAAGAGCAGACAAAATACATGATCAAACTCACCCAGACAAGCTGTCTGTAGGAAATCCGATCATAACAATGCACTCAAGTTCCAGTTTTTTTTTGTCTTTTGTTTTTGACTTGTTCTGGTGTTTTACGACAGATCCAGTTCGAATGGGTAATTATCGGCTGAAGATTGTTTAACAACATTAAAGTGGAAAAAAACAGGTATCAACTATATTTTTAAGTGCAATGAAAGGCGAGCTCTTAATTCATCTCAAGCAATAAAGGCTATTGACTGATTGTTATTTGCTATAAATAGCTCGGAATCATGTTGGATTGTTTGTATGTACAAAACATCACGACAACGATCCGACATTTCCGTATTGTGCATGACAGAATACTTACACGTTTTTTTCGTGTTTCGCATTTTAAGGCAAGGCTGCAGGTACTCATTTCAGATAAAATTAGAGAAGGTCTAGTATAAGAGAGAAGCGGATTCAAAACAAACTGCCTTGGCAACCTATGCCTAGGTGATTTCTAGCAACACTGCCAATGCAATAAAGATAGGCGCTGCTCGATTGGATCTGGCTTTGACAGTCCGCTCGTCTCTTATACTGGATAAAACAATGTTTTTCGGAATAAGATGTTTTGATCATATTTTTATATGTAAGATACAAGAAGAGGTTGAAACGTAGGAAAGTATGTGTTTGACATATAAAACCTGTTAATTTAGCTTCATGAGAGTCTTCAAACATTTTTTATGCGATATAAACATTTATTATGCGATACTCTTTCGACTAATGTTTCAATTTCTTCGTCGTTTTTGGCTACCCAGGAATCTAGAAACAGCTGATGACCTATCCCGGTAATTCCTGGGAGTACTTCTACTCAGTGAAAAAATTGGTCTACTAAAATGTCCAATTTTAACTTTCTGATTTAATCTCCCCTTGAAAGTTTATTGCATCTTTCCCCTGGAACTTTCTTCCAACTTACCCCGTAAGCTATTTTCCGATTCCTCCCAGAAGATGTTCCGACTTCCCTTGGAATCTTATCTGACTTCGCTCGAAAGGTTCTTATATCTTCTCACGCCAATATTTGTATATTCAACTTCCCCGGAACATTATTGATGCTTCCAGAATTTATTGCGGTTCTATTGGCTTCAGGAACTTTCAGGAAGTTCTTAAAATAAAGAAACATCCAGACTTTTGGGTATGTTCAAAGATCTGTAAGGGTAAGTTAAATTAAAGACAGTTTCATTAACTTCTGTTAATTACCCTGATCTGATTCATAGAAACCTGACCACTTTTCGTAACGCGGTTAATTTTGGTTTCTTGAAATTGCACCCCCAATATGTTGCCGAAAGACGTAATCCTACGTAAAAAAACATCTTGCATCAGGATTTTGGCATGTATACAATTGGAAGTAGCAATGAGTATTATTTTGAACGGAAATATCCAATACCCTGTCATTCATTTCTGCTTCCTTGAAAATTATTGTTTAACTATTAAAATGGTTGTTCAGGAATCTCAATGTGATGGTATTACCCAGAGCACCGTTTTCCGGACACGCGACACCGCAATTGGTCATAATTACTTCGAACAAATCACCGTTGTTGCCGCAAGTTACGCAAAAAAATCCACTTACCGCTCAATTCCCTTCAGCAGCGTTCGGTACTTCTTTGACATGAGCGCACCGCCACCCCAAGCAGCATCCACGTGCATCCAAAGATTGTGCTTTTTGCACAAGTCGGCAATCTGTTCCAGGGGATCAAATGCTCCAATCACCGTGGTTCCTGCTGTGGCTGATACCATAAAGGGCACGGCCCCCTCCGATTTGGCACGCAGAATTTCCGACTCTGTAAAAAGCGGAAAATGTGATTGACGATAAAACAAGAGGAATAACAGGAATCCTACCCAAATGATCCACCCTGATCTTGCCGATCTCGTCCGTACGGATGGGGTACACGTTGTCCGAGCCGATGCCCATGAACGAAGCCAACTTTTTCACCGAGTAATGTGCGTCTTCTGATGTGAAGATTACCAAGCGCGGAAGTGAATGCAATCCTTTTGTCTGTAACAAGATACAAGTTGAGGGAGAAAAAAAATCTTGAGTTAATGAGAACAAAGAGCTCGGATCAATTAGCGCTTGTTGAATGAAAACCGATTATCAATCATTCAGGCAGTTTATGGCCCGGGAGAGGCCTTTAAATTGGAATGATCGAGCGTGCGAAATCCTGTGTGCGGATCTGGTCAAGTAAATCTTAAAACGGATTTTAATTGGCATGACGCTGCACTATCGATGCGATCAACGATCGGATTTTGTGCTATGTTCGTGATGAATCAATTTCAAATGTTAACAGCTGAGAACGAAAACTTTGTTTGTTATTGTTTCGCCAGACTGCTCCATTAGCGAAACTACTAGATTGGATGATTATTTACTATACAAACCATCATCAGTACTGGGAATGATCATTCATTGACGTGCTGATCGTCTAGCCGATGTTAAGAAAGCTGATGTAACGGTTTTAACGATTAGCATTAAACTTTGTAAACATTGAGGATGATAAGACATTGTTTTGAAGATCTATCGTACTCTGGAGATTATTACACTTCTTTGCATCACGTGTTGTGTAGTGCATTGACGTTACACAATGATCTGACTCTAATTAAGCGTCCGAGTAAGCGAATTACTGTCAACTTTCTATGCGACCAGATATTGTTTAATATTTCGTTGATTTACGTTGTTTTTATATTTTAAGAAATAGAGATGAGGAGTTAATTTTTAGACGCTTCGATGGAAATATTAAATATTAAATTTTACTTAAAGCTTTTTTTATGAATAACAATCTATCCAATCTTAAAGTTTGATTTGAATTTAAATGAGTATGCTCTGAGTGACGAGGTTTGAATTTTTGGGATTCCGTAAATCCTGGAAATTAGTGAGGTCAAAATTCATCAAATAAAGGTCCTTTCGCATGTTAAGCTAGATTTATTGGATAGGGTGTCGAGAATCTTAAGCCGGGGGAGATCCTATGTCATTAACTACGTAGACAGTTTTTTGGGATTCTTGACACCCCCCACCCCATGCGTAGACAATTATCCATACAAAAAATTGAATTTGTATGGGCCGTGGATGATTTCCAATAAGCCCCCCCCCCCCTAAGCTGTCTACGTAGTTTATGAACAGCCCCCAAGTAGATTGTTAACAATAGGTCTGTTCCCGTATTTGCTTTTATGTACATCAAAAGAGTAGTTCTATTCAAAATATCGAAAAAATAATCGAATTTTTGAATCGACCTTCTCCGGTTTGTAGGAAACTTTGTGTTATTGTTTGTTATGGTCATTTTTGCTAGAATTCGGCTATTTTGGATCTTGTAAAATTTTCAAAATGGCTTTGTTGAAATTATTCTAAAAAAATGTAGCACGGAAACGGCATTTTTGATCGAAATGACGTCTTAGAAAAAGTTGTTGAGAACTATTCCAAAGCCGCAGACTTGAAGAAATATTACAGGAAGGAGTGTCCGTTTGACTAGTATTGTCGTATTAATGGCCCTTCGCTCATTTTCAACTTCTACTCAATTTCCATACTGCCGTACTCTAGCGAAACTATCAACCTACTCTCTTCAGACCTTTATCTAGCTAATAGATTATCACACTAAAGCTTCATTTTAGACAGCATTCCCAAACAATCGTAAACTTCACGTATGAAGTAACAAAAAACACTTTCAATGCCAAAAGTTTGCAATTTTTCATGAGCTTTTTCTTTAAAATAAAAATTTAAAAAATCGGGCAAAGATATTTTTAGATAGGTATTTAGATTTTTAAACTTTTTTTAATATCTTGAACATTTTTGGGATCGGATTTTTCTTTAAATTTGTCTCAAGTCTGGATTACTTTAATAAATTCGTTGTAACTCTTCATAGGTTTTCATTGAAGTTTTCTCAATAATTTTGTCTCATGCATATATTATGTGACGCTGCATTACGTATAGGAAAAATGTGACCCTTTGAAAAAGTAATCGAGAATTGTCGCTTGACTATGTAGTTTTGACCTATTTAATTTGTTTAATTTTTAACCGGCTTATCGGGTGAACGGTAGACCAACTTATCAAACTGCTTAAACTAAAGTTTTTTAAGATGGTGAGAACACGCCGAGGCATGCATAAAAATATGGGGCTAGATTTTTGTGAAAACCACTATTTTTTAAAACCGGCTTGAGCGACAACTGTGGAAGTGTCTAAAAGGTATTTCGGGAGAAGTGCTCTAACTCAGTCAAAATTAGTCCGATCTTCAATGCTTTTGCACTTCCAATGCACTTTAACTTCCAATGTATGTTCATTTTTTTATGTTGAGCTGGTTTAAGAGACATCTGAGGAAAAATGAGTCCCGGGTACCCTAATACATGACATTCAAAAAATTCCCTAAAGCCAATAAGGATCCTAGCGAGCTAAAATTCTGTCTGTAAACGTGAACAAAAATCTAGAAACGAAATCCTATAATTTGATTAGAAAGTAGAAACTGTTATATGTTTAAGTGTGGTCGGCCTCTGAGATGGCTGATTTAAAATAAAGGTCTTACGTGGCTACCATAACTTGGGCCGTATTCAACCGATTTTTGATCCAAGTACACAATTCAATGCGTAATTAGATTTGCTATCGACGCTCTCAATACGTCAAGTGGCCAGTTGGTCATCCGAAGGTTCGATGGGTCATCAAAGTGGGAAAAAAGTTTCTTCAAAATTACTACCCACTAAGGCACACGGAGAAAAAATACTACCCAAAATTTGAGTTCTTTTTACTTAATGTTGACTTCAGCCTCTCACTTGCACTCGTTTTTGTTGTCAAAAAAGGAACGAGAGATTCGACCCAACGATATAGTTCAGCCCAATAAGTTACTTTTGAGTAAATTGCATATTCTTAAATTTACGTGAATTAAACTTAATTTTGGGTAGAATATACTTAAGAGTAGATAATTTTTTGCCGGTGTTAAATGGAAACTACTATATGCGATTTACTCAAATTTGGGTTATTGGGCTGAACCCCAGAATTGAAGGAAAAGTACTTAATTTTGGGTAGTTTTTCATTTCCGTGCAGAGGTTCTAGCGCCAGAACGATAAAAGCTTGTACAGCCACCGATGTACACTGAAACAAATCGACATGTACCGTTTATTGGATCCATCTTATAACATAGCAATGTCAGCAGATTTATTCATTCTATGTGATGATTGATAGATTCCATTGGATTATCACTTAAAAACTATGACTGCGATATGGAATGATTTCTATCGTAATTTCACATATTTAGTACTTGATAATACTTTGCTTCGAACGTGGTTAGCGATAGGTAATAAGTATATGAATATTGTCTGATATATTTCATGGTGAAAAACTGTTGATATGTCATGGGTGGGAACAGACATCTAGAAACTAATGGAAAATCATATAAGTTTGCACTATGAGAAAATCCAGTAAAATATACCTGTTTTCATGATGAATATTGCTCACTAAAATGTATATCTTATAAGATAATCATATATATTTTATTGGAGTTGCTTTTACTGATTTTTGACGTTTGTTGATATGTCGCGTGTAAATAGACATGTAGAAACTATTGGACTGTCATTTAACTTTGCAGTATAGGAAAACATGTATATCTCATTTGAATAGCTTCCTTTGATTTTTGAGGTTTAAAGATTGTAAACAGATCCATCCCAATCATTTAATAGTCATATAGATATGCCTTTTAAGAAATCCAACAGCAAACGTTTGTTTTTGCATGTTTTTCTGGGCTGAATATCGCTCCCAATAAAATACATCTTACATGATTGTTCTTTATATATTATTGAAACAATTTTCAAAGATGTTATCGTACACTCATTAAAATGATTAGTTGAACTAAATACTACTAACAACAATGATACTGTATTGAATAATTTTTGTTTGTTTCCGGAAAAGAATGTATTGAGATTGAAAAAAAATGATTCTACTGCAATATTTACTTTGCTATGATTCTAATTGTAAGCCTTCTACACGGCTAATTCAGATTCCAGCCCTAGTACTCGAACTTCATGAACCAGTTACATATAATTTTCAATGGATTATCTTATAACGCAAATTTATAAGATTTCCACATAACAGGAATATGTCATATTGGTTCAGTGTATATGAACCACGCATAGAGAGAAGCGAGCTTTCCCTGTAGTTGGACAGTACCTACTATGTACATTAGGGTGTTTCATTTTGAAAAAAGTGATGAATTTTTGATAGGCCACCCTCCAGTTCGATTCATAGCCCCAAAATATGAACCTGTGCAAAAAATGGTAAAGATTGATGAAGGTTTAGAGGTCGCGCCAATGATTTGGATTTTGTATGGAGATTTTGGTGAATTAGTATGGGAAATTATTGATTTTCGTTTACATTGCTCTAACTTTGGTTGTAGTTGTCCAAACGTTGAAAAAAAAAAATATGTGGTTGTCATGACAATGATCAACAAGCCTGTTGTTGTTGCGATGAAATTGGCGTTGTTGCCTTGTACATATTCATCTATCAATTTACCCTATTTTGCCATTTTTTCACATTTTTATAATTCTTGATACGCTGCAAAACTGAGCGTAGCAACTGTAGGCTTTTTGTTTATTGCCATAGCAATAACATACTAAATTTTTTCGACATTTGGACAAGTAGAAGCAAAGTTATAGCGATATAAGCGATTTTTTAAATTCTTCCATAGTAATTCCCATACAAATTTCAAATCATTGGCGCGACCTCTAAACCTTCATCAATCTTTACCAATTTTTGCACAGGTTCATATTTTGGGGCTATGAATCGAACTGGAGGGTGGCCCATCAGAAATTCATCACTTTTTTCAGAATGAAGCACCCTAATGTACATGCACCTAACAGTAGTTGGGGTAGAGGTAGAGGTAGAGGCAAGAGTTTTGGTGCGAGCAGTCTGTTAACTCTTGAACATGCTAGCCAGAGAGTTAGACAGGCCAAAGTTATACGAGGACATAATTCTGATGGAAATCTCCCCACTAGTTATGGGAAGTGTGGAACTCTCTTGAGAAGTTCTAT